CACTGTTCCTGCTTCCCCTGTGCTTTAAAAATTACTAGAAGTTGAAATCAGCTTTTCTAGAACACTAAGAAGAAGGGTTCAATCAATATTCTTAAGGCTGGACAAGATACATGAAAGCTTAGGGGCATGTTTTCTGAAAGAACATGGAAAACAGGGTGCTGAAGAGGAGAGGCTCCCATTCACCACCGTAGGACTGCAGAAATCCCATTCCTCTCTCAGACTCTTTCTGAAGAAATCTTATGAAGCAGGAATTATATCTGCAACTAGCATTCTAAATCAATTAGTGGGTAGTGATGGGAAAGTTCATAAGTTTATTAAGTTCTGATTTGGATGGTAACTTAGGAAAAAATACCATATAGCAATTTTTAACTTTGTTTTTATCTCAGTGTACGCATAAATCTTACTTCCTACTGGTATTATGATTGCTTTATTGTAACTAAAACAACCAAACATCAAATTAAGTTTTCTACTTCACCTGTTAAAGTCCTAAATTCATGAAGCTGCTGTCTTATTTCCTCCAGAGACAAACAGGCATGAAACAGTAATTCATGTACTGCAGTAACTCTGCTATATGTTTTTCATATGCTGCCTGCAGGCACAGTGAATAGGAATAAAAATTGAAACACAGCACCAACAGATCTTGTTCTGTTCTCTGTATCTATGCTTTTAGCTCCCACTCTCTGATTATTTGTTACAGTTCCTACAGTTGTGGGAAATGACAAGACACAGATACAGTGAACAGAGCAGCCCACCTCCCTTCAGGGTCTTATTCCCAGGGTAAAAGGAAGAATGGAAGAACCAGCATGCTGTTCCCTCCCCATTTTGGAGGTAAAGATCAGTGGCCCATGGAAAATTTCATACCCAAGAAGTCTCATGTATGTGTTATCAGGAAGTCTCATGAAAACAGTGGATGAAGATAATTTTATTAACTACCCTTTTGTGTTCTATGAGTATATCCTATCACTATTCTCTGTATAATTTTGTTTCTTACAGCGAAGAAGGGAAGTTTATTTCTATAAGAGCCATATGATACTACAGACCGCATTGCCTTTCCCCCCCTTGTTAATCAGTGGGTACAAAAGAACTTTCTTCTGTCTCCAAGTTCCTGTTTGCAAATAAGGCAAATGTCCTATCACCTACCATACCAACTGGACATCAAGAACTTAGAAAACAAGCTTTCTGCACATTCTCAGTACTAAACATTATTAATCTCTCAAAATGGAAGTTTCCAAGGAAACAAGAAGAAAAGAGGACATGAGAAATGCAAATATAAAAGAGAAAAACAAAACAAAAAGTCTGGTGTTTATTATTTTTCAAATTACATATAAATGTACATTGTTATTAGGTTGCAATTATGATCCATGGGCTTACTATTTCATTCATTTTTTAACTGCAATAGTTACTTGAGTTACCAAGATTAAGCCTCTATCATGATAATAACTGCATATTCACAAAGTAATTCCTATTCTAAGAAAAAACATATGATCTAAATAGACAATATAGAGAATAAGGAGCATCAATCTCATGTTGGTAATAAAAATAAAAATTGTTACAATCATAGAGGAAATCTGTATCAGAGTCAGGATCCCACTGCAGGATCCCTGCTTGAAAATGGCTTCCTCAGAAATTTACAGTGTACCGATAGTTTTCCTTTTTATTATGATAACATGGTGTATTTTCAGTAGATGTTTCTCATTTGCACTTTCTGAAGAAAGTCACCAAGCTATCTTAACTAATTTTGTTTTTCTGATGGTCTTTAGTTAAGGCTTTGAAACAGACCCATAGGTTTGAACATAATTTATAACATATTGGGCTGCAAGTTCAAAACAAACAAAAAATACCCCAAAGCCAAAACAGTAAAGACAGAAAATTGCGTTTCCACATAGTCTTTGCTTATTACTAGACGTGGACTCTTCATTCAGCTTTGAGAAGATAATTGAACGAGATGACATTCTTCAGTGTCTTCAAACCTGAATTATCCTAGAGCCTTATGACATTCCTGTTTCCAGGAGTGTTTCCAGATGTCATTTATGACTTAATTTACATGAAACATCTTGTTACTATCTTCCCTCAGACTACATGGAAAGGCTATGGCATTGTTACCTGCAAAATCACTCCCAATCCCTACTGTCAACAATGATTTTAATCTGTTTGGTGGGATGTACATGTTATTTTGCTTGGATGAAAGTCCATTATTAAGAAAAAAAGGCATGGACCTTAAAGTCTAAAAGTCATAACAGAAGAATGAGAATTCTTAGTTTGTACAGACTACTCTTGATGTATCTGTCTTAAATCACAAGACAATGAGAATTCTTTAACTTTTGTGCCTGCAGCCAAAAAAAAACCCCACAACAAAACAGGTTTAATAATGTGAAGACTTTCCTCAAACATAGAATTTCTATGTAGTTTCCACTTCATATAAAAAATTATTTAAGCTATTATTAGCAGCAGAACATATATTAGTGCAATTGGATATACTTTTACCTTGCCAGGAAATGCACAACTAAAAACAGCAAAAACTATAGTTCATTGATGGCTTGTTAATTATTTGCCATTAAAAGATCAATAAAGAGCTTGGGTCCTGATTTGTCTAAATATATTAACTGAGTAATTTCTCCCTGAGAAGGAATTGTGTTGTAAAGTGGCACGATCCCCAGGAGATGAAAAGGTGAAAAAGTTGAGTGCTGAACTGTCTTCTCCATTTTCTCAGTTCTCTTTGATGCAATTTAAAACAAAAAGGAGCTTTCTATCTTAAGTGTTTAGTTAAACATCTGGAAGGTGTAAACAAAAAAGTTTCAGTCTAGAAAAGCACCTATGGTCAAGGCCAGAAATCCTGATCTCATCCCGTGAAGCCTAGAGAGGTTTTACTACTGGCTGCAATACCACCAGGTTCTCACTTCCTAAGGAATATATGTGTTGATTTTTTTAAAAATTTCTTTGTGTGGGCACCATACTGCAATGATTTATACAAAAAGCTCAGTGGTGGAAGAAGCCACATGAGTACTTGGAGCTGTGCTGTGAGATGAATAGGGTGTCATAATATATTCAGCAAATATGGCAATCCTCCAAAACAGAGAAAGGTGTGAAAAATTAGTTCTTTGGTTTAGAAACCATAGACTGAAGCCAAGAACACATAGAAAGAAAATGGATTGGCCTCTTCCCCACTAACACACAAATCACTGCTGTTCTATGTGTACAAACCATTACAGGTGTTATGCAAACACTGCAGTGTAATTTTTTGTTACTGTCTAGGTTAAAATAATCTGCCTTTGTTGCTTCTTTCTCTCACTTAAAAGGAAAAAATAACACATTAGAGAATACCTGTGGAAACTCACTTTCCATACCAAAAAACTAGTTTCTAAGAGAATTTGTTTTTCCATAAAAAAGTTTAAAACATGAAAAAGGAGATAGCTGCAAAGGATGCTCGCAAATTTCTAAGAACCTTAAAAATGCAAATAGTTGGAACTGATTATTTCTTTAAAAAATTTCAGTAAATTATGTTGCTTAATTGTCCTAAATCTAGGGTAAACACCTGCAATTATGGTGTATATTTATTTTATTATAATATACATATATACTAACAATCACAAATTGGTCCAGAAATAATAGTCTTATACATTTCAAGAAGAAGAATCTAACACTGTACTCTGTGTAAGCTATGAGCTTTCTAAGCACATTATCTCCAGCTCCACTAACAAATAAATCTGCCTTCTAATACCTGCCCAAAGTAGGGAGCTTGTATCCATCAGCAGAATCTAATCACAATACTTCTAGTTATGAACATGATTCAGGATCCTATATATTAAGGCCCAAGAAAGAAGAAATCATTTTCCACAGTGCAGAATCTCTGTGCTGTGCTAAATTGAGCAAAATAACAGCAACAGAGACAAAGCATGCGTTAGAAAAGTTAAAAAAACAATAGGAAGGAGGGAGAGGGAGTAACAAGCATTACAGTGTCTATTAACTAACGGAATGCTTATGGAAATAGGAATAAGATGCACATGCATGCCAAATGAATCCTTATCTATAGCACCGTAAGAAAATATATCAAAACAAATTCATGAGGGGAAGCACCCTAAAGTAAGCATGCAGCCATGAAATTAATCTGAAATGCATTTGGATTGCTCTTATAACAATGAACTCATTTCACAATCATGAAAATGTGTTATATGTTTCCACTTATAAACCAGTCTTCCCTAAGTACCATTAAGATTTATTTAACATGAAAATCTATCATATACAATTAGAACATACATAAAGTATTAGATGCATATTAAAAGGGTTTTTAAAATGGAATTCCTTCCTTATGTGCTGCTTTACTAATTCTGGAACAACTAATACTTTTGTCTTTATCACTTACAAGTAACACTTGTTGAGGAGGCATATACAGAAAGCAGTACTAGAACTATTCTCTTCCAGTAAAGCTACACAGCAAAAGAAGAAACTTATAATGAATCTACTTGTAGGTAACAGCATATCATTTCTTACACAATTACATTACTGACCATGACAGTCCCTACAATGTGTAAGGCATCTGATTACCCAGAAATACTCTGTGTTTAAGAAACTGTTTCAGAAATATTAGTGGGAAAATTCCAGCCCTTATTCAGTCAGTGCCCTTGCTGCTTGTAGCATATGAAAACTGACAACCAGAAAAACAGGATAAAGTTCAAAGCAATTTTTCAATGCCTCTATTGATTAAACTTTAAAAGTTACCATGTTTAGCAAAAGCCTCCTGCTTTAAGGAGCAACAGATCTGAGAGAAGAACACAAAAACACACAGTGCAATAAAAATCATTTTAGTAGTAAGCAAACAGGCAATTTTTAAAAAGAAAATAATGTCTTTTGTATTTTTAGCTATTTACCTCTTTGTCAACTTTAATGAAGGAGAACAAAGAAGTCTGTTCAATGAATGAACTAGTCTAACAGCAATACCTGTTAAATTGTTCAGATAAAGTTTTTTAACACCATATTTAGTGGATATCCCATTCTCAGCCTACCTGGTGTATTCAGCAGCCGGGACATCTTGCAAGAGTAGGAGATAAACTGCTCACAGTATTCAGCACTACTGGTAATGGCAGAAATCTGGTCCATTGTTGCACTATAGTTGAGCTGCAGTACAGATAACTTCTCCATGCTGTTGCCTCCCACAGAAGTCTGCATTTGCAGATCATGGTACACAGTTGTCCATACTTTATCCTCTGAAAGAGAGGGGACGAAAGACAAGACAAGAACTGGTAAAAGACAGGCAGTGGAACCAAATCAAAATAAATCTAGGCCTTTGACAAAAGATAAAAATGTTCTGCAATATATTTTTGAGGTGGTAGTGGAGAAGAAGGACATTGAATGTGAAAAATTATCATGTGAGAGTATAGTTCCAACAACTAAGAACCCGTGATGGGAAAAGACTGATCACCTTTATGAAAAGATAATGGATATACCACGTGAGGAGTCTTCCTTGAACAAGTAACTGATGCTAATAATTACATATGGAACTAGTAAGTGTTAATTTTGATCAGAAGGACACAAGGTTGATGCCTTAAAGATTCAAGGTCTCTACATGAAGAAAATTCACTGTTATGATAAATTCCTGTGGGCTGGAGAGCAACACTGTTTTGTAGTAAAGTAACAACAAGGATGCACCAGATTCTTATGTGATTACATCATTTAACAATTAATACTGAAAACACTGCAGTTTATCAAGGTTTCCACATTTTTTAACCAAGCTATGTTCCTAGGTTAAGCCAAAATTACTGTTTATTGAGACAAATATTTCTAAATAGCAGCCCATATGATTTTATTGATTCTGTTAATGGTACAGATAGCAGTACAAGAAATAATGGAAGTAGAATGGAAATACAAAGCTTCTCTGTAGTTGTGAAAAGACACGAGGAAGGATGACCTAATTTTGTTGTTAAGAAATACAGCAGAACTGGCCAAATCTCTCACCTCCAACAACCATTTTTTGCAGGCTCGTGCAAAAAGTGTATATTATTCAGCCTAAATAGGGTCTGTATGCATTATATTGCTTTAAAATACTGAACAGCAAGTCACTGGAAGTGTTACTGTGTACCATTTGTCAATAGTTACCAGAGAAGATTTAAGATAAGATATCATAACAATGAAACAACACACTCCATACTCCTCCTGTAGAAAGATTTGTGGAAGTTGGAAGGTAGTTTAGAAAGGAAATAAAGAAAAGGCACAGAAACTTTCCTGTTATAGGCTAACCATTATTTTTTCTTAGATGGACATTCCACTGAACCAAAATGAAAAAAAAAATATTATCTGAGTAAGGCGTAGGGTTTTAAAATGAAAACAATGAAGAGTCAGTCAGTATTAGTGATATTACCTTCCTGTAAGAATACTATTATATCACTTAGGTGTGAAAAATTTTCAAATTGATTTTGACTGCCTATTACTGTAAAAATACACTATCTCAGCTGGTATTTACTACATATATTGTCCATCTCACATAGACATGGAGTGAAATAGGTCAATTATTCTCTGTAAATAAACCCCAGAAAATTCTCTTTTCTCTATAGAGTACCATGTAGCATATTACCATAAAACTTTCTAGAACTGCACCAGGTTTTGTCAGTAATATTTGTCATGCACAGTACTTTCATATTTTACATTGTTTTTCTGTTTCTCTTTTAAATTTTCTGCTTTGTATCTTTCTACTACTAAGGGTCGAGTCAAAGAAATGAGTCTTGAAACAAGAAATATGGAACCTTAAAAAAAACATCTGTAAGAATCTATCCTGGTGCCTTGAACAGGCTTGCACAAAAGCCCAGTTTCCCAAATGAGTCAGCCAGGCCTTTGCCTCAGACAGTTAAGCTGTTCCTGTAGAGCAACACCACTGACCACAGTTGTCCTTCCAGCGATGCAGAGACAAAAACACACCATTCTGCTAACTTTGCTGTATTTATCACAAAAACAGATTCTCCAGAGAGTTCACCTGTCAGCTTCAGAGAATACTAATTCACCTGACAGATGTGCCTTACAGCAATAAACCCCATAAAATGTAGAGCATAACAGTATGTTTTCAATTCTTCTATGTAAATGTCATGCCTGTTAATACAAATCTCCAAGTAATTCTAAAACTTGTGGTCTGATACCACACTATAATATTTTAACTACATGTAAACACTTCGCCAAACTGAGACATATTCAAAGGTGCTTCAGTCCTTCTTCACCCCGTTCACAGAAATGTGCTGCCATACCCTGATGAGTTTTGGTGCAACTCAGAGTAAAGTTAACTTTCCATGTTATGATTATTCTTATCTCCATGACTCCATCTTATTTTCCAGTCTTAATTTTTACTGCATAGTGTCAGAGTATTTTGGATTATACAGAATCTTGTGGACCCATGTGTTTGCAACTGATATGGTGTAAGTCTTTCTAATCAAATGTTTGGAGATAAGGTAAGCAAAGCAGACGAATCCTCCACAGGGAGTACGCATCACTAGCCAAATGAGATGAAATTCAGCAGGTGATGCAAGATGGTTATTATTTTAATATTCATATATTTAGTCCAAAGCTCTGTATAAAACTCAATAATATTCTTGCACTGAGAAAAAAAATATTTATAAAAAAAGCAGGGGGAAGGAAGAACAGGAATTCTTATTTCTGTATTTAAGAACGGGAATTCTTATTTCTGTATTTCTTTAATTCCACTCCCAAGTATCAAGAAAAAAATTATAATTGTCCCCTGTCAAGTTATACAGAGAATATAACACAGTGTTGTTGAGAGCCTGGGATGCAAGTTTAGCGCAGATTCATTTCCAAGAAAGGCTTATACATTCACTGACAGAAATGTCTCATTTTTCGCAGAAAACATTGTACATATAAGAGCTCAAAAGTGTTAGTAAGGAATGTACTAGGACAGTTAGAGCCTCATACTGGATTTCTGAGCAAAGACTCCTAGACTAGCCATTAAGAGAGACTAGGAATGTCATTAGCAATAGGAATTGTGTTAAGCATTATATCTAAGAAGGGATTTCTTTATGGATAGTAGATTCTAGCCAATGCAGCCCTGACACTTCCCCTCCAACTCAGGGAGTTTCAAACTTTATTATGGTACACTGTATTAAAGAAGATAGAAACATATTCTTGTCAGTCAAATGTATCCTTTAACAACTTCAGGATCGTTCTGTCAAAGTACAAAGTACTACTAGTGGGTAAGAGCTTGTTGCACCTTGTAATGTATCTATTTATCAATATACATATATGTGCATAAAGTCAATTGCTATTTCTAGAAAAGCAATTAAGTCTTTTTTTGCTGTCTAAAAGATGATGGGAGATTGGTTAGGATCCAGATACTGGAAATAAATGTAGCTCTCAATTCACTTGCAACTAATTTGTGGATAGTCTGGCTCAAATGACTGATAAACATGTTCAGCAAGCTGGCTTGTCCAAACTCTGGAAGCTGAATGACCTGTGCCTGCAGGTCAGGCACAGAGAGAGTGTGGAGGAAAAGTTGGGAGCTGTGTACAGGAAGGAAGTTTCCTTATTTAACTGACTCATGGATCAAAACTGTACAAAATGACAGGGCCTTTCTTTGACTGGAAAAACAGATTGACAGTGTAATACGGTCACAGCAAAAAATCCATCTCCCCTCAAAAAAAAAAGCAGACTCCTGCATTTCATACATTTATACATCTGGGAATGCTTTTAAGATGTCTGGAAAGGCTTAAAGGAGAAAGTTGCCAGAAAAATACCATATCTATTGAGTGCTGATTACAAACTGCTTTCCCCTTTAAATCTTAATAATTTTTTAACATGTTAATTCTTCCCATGGAAACCAGCTAAACACTTATAGCATGAAAATAAGGTCATCATGTTCACTTGTGGTTCCAATTTCTCCCAAACTGCTTGTTAGTTGAGACCATTCTTGAGAAAGATTGAATTAGTAACTTGCTTGCAGCCAACTTCCCTTACAGAAAAGGTAACACAGATAGTTCACACTATCTCAAAGACCTGTATCATCACAATTTATGGCATTATTCCCATGTAGCTGAGAACAGGATGCAGTAGGCATGGTTAATATGTCAAAATCTGCAAGAAAAGCTACCCTTTATTTCTGTCAATAGTACACAGAAATCTCATTTAAAATACAGGGAAGTGAAAAATCTGTCCTAGTTAACTGTAATTTGATATATATTCCTGGCAATTACAGTCACCACAACACTGGAATGAGTATTCCCCTAATACACTAGCAGTTATTTTAAGAATGCATGACATATGGCGATTGCTAAACACAAGTGTTTAGCAGTGGTTTAGCAATTTGTCAGTCACAGCTGTGTATATGACTTCTGCATAGCCAAACACACCTATAGAGAGCAGACTTCACTTAACAATTATAATGTTGTTAAGCAGCATTTTCTATAAAATATTTTATGTGCTTATGACCTAAGTTATTCAAATTAAAAATAATAATAAAATGAATTAATGTTGAGTAGTTAGTTATTAGTAATTTAAGGTTAATGATAATATTCTCATAATGTTTCTTTTTTGCAGACATATTAGGAATATAAAAGTTAATGTTTAAAGGAAATCAAAGTATGTTTTAAATTTAAAAAAATGCAATAATATCACAGAAAAGAGTGTAAAAGAAAATTAAGGTAAAGGATAGTGAAAAAAGGAGGTTTTTTTCAATATTACATGCAATTTACTGGGGGTTGTGATGGTGAACTTCTACAGCTTAGCCCACTATGTAGTGTTTTATTTGAGGCTGGTCAAAATACCCTAGAATCCAATAAATAGTCAAGTCAGCCAACGGAAGTGCTGGGATTGGCCTTGAATATGAAACTCATATAGAGCCACAGAAGTTTGGGAAATGACATGTGGGTAGAGCAAAACAATTATGTAGCAGAAAATTTGATGTTTATGTAGAGTTCACACTTATGGTCAATCTCGTATCATTAGACCATACAACCCAAAAGACTTCTCGGTTCTGAGGTAGTGTAAGGAGCTAAGCTGGATAAAGAGTTTCTTTTGATATCATAGTAACATTGAGAAGATAAGAATTACCTGATTTGCTGACCTGACTGAAGGGTAGATTATACAAATATAATTAGCATCACTGCTAATTCCATTAACTGCATTCCATTTTTGCCCAAAGTTAATCCTATGCACAGATTTCAATGAATTTTGGATATATTGAAATTTGGAGCAGCCTGAGTTATTCCATTATCAA